GGTCGTGGATAGATTTGGGTCGTGGGTAGGTTTGGGTCAGTATACTTCCATCCTTGTTATGCATACCTTATTCGCATGACAATTGTTCGTTGTTGCAATAGAAGAAGTATTCACAACCTAAGCGAGAGGTTTGTTACAGTGCCAATTTAGTCTTGTGGCAGTATAAGTGCATTTTCATGGTACGTTTAATACCAATTGCTAGCCGAAATAAATCGCTGCTATAAATTTATATAAGAAAGCTCGTGCTGGTAAAAATTTTAGTGGACGACCTTATGTTTCAGCAACAATTATAGATTACAAATTAGAACTTAAGACACATGGTTTGAGTAACAACCATGTGAGGTATGGACCAAATAACTATTTTTACAACTATATTATATTTTTAAAGATTCCTTTGGAATAATAAAATGAAATCACGATGGAACACAGTAAGGTCTTACTGATTGTAACTCTTCAAATTTAAAGCGTGTTTTTCTTTCATTTTAATCACTACTACAAATTAATTTAAAACTGACCCAAACCTACCGATTATCCCCTACTATTCATTGCTGGGTAGCTTGAAAAGCGAAACGGAAGAGAAGTTGATCATGGGAAGGGGAAATAGTGGAGTGGAACAATTAGACTCCTCCTTGGCAGGTGCCTGGAGGAAGAGATGATCACGCGTTCTATTATCGCGCGAAGTTTAATTAGTGAAGGATGTAAGGAATTAATAAATTTACAGGAGGGGTAAAGTAATTCATAAGTGAAATATTAATGACACGTTGGAAGATGAAATGAATTTTTGCTGAAGCTTCTGTGACGTTCGCTTTATGACTCACCTCTGGATTGCAGATCTTGTATTTGGTGCTCCACGGACGACCCTTGCAGGGCTTCCTTCTGCACCGCCTTTGCTGTCGAGAAATTCCTCCGCCACAGCTCCTGCATAGTAAAATGAGTATAATTAAAAAAACGAATACGTTGTGCTGTTTGTGACGGACGGACAAAAGTTTCCGTGAAACTCTTTTATCGAGACTGAATATTAATGAAATGGAATACAATGGAGCTGTGCGTCTGCTATTAACAAACAAGATGTTAGGACCATTATATTATACAATAATTGGTACTCTGTAGACTCCTGAGTTTCTAGTTTCTGTGTTTAGACACAGGAGTCCTTCTCATCACAATGGTAATTGTATACTGTAACTATAATGGCAACATTCCATTTCACAAATTTCAACAAAAAGCAATTTTCCATTTTTGTACCGAAAGCCGAGTCACTCATACGTGGCGGTCAGTTACTTAGTTAACTAACTTAGACATCAAAGTTTCCCAAAACTATAGGACTCCATGGATCAGACCCATTCGACCGTTCTAATCTTGGTGCTCCAGAGAATTCCTGAATTCATTAGAACTGTAGAAATCTTGTAGACACTCTGAGCCTTCCACAAACTTTTGGAACCTGGAGAACGTTTGTAATCGCCAGATCTTATGTTGTTTGCAATGGGTTTCCCGGGCTCGAGGTGATCTACATATATTGGATTCTATCGGTCTTATGAGTTAAAGTAAGTTTCAAACATCTATAGCTTGGAAACCATCTATATCGAACCGAAGATGTTCAGGTTCCACTGTTCTACATGCTACGACTTCCGAATCATCAAAACGTTCTACCCAGCATCGGAATAAGGGAGGTGGCTAGGAGGGGGGGGGGCTATAGATCCGGGCTCCACTTTCAAGAGGGCCCCCTAAGCTTTCCGTTTATATAAAAAAATAATTTAATGAAATTTTGTTTTCCGTTTTCCCTTCTGAAATAATAAAAAATTGTACTAAATGTAGAAATAAATCGAATCAATGTTGTTAAAATATAACGAAGCAGTGTTCGTTATAATCAAACGTTCGTTAGCATTAAATGATATTTAATATTACTTAGAATAAATTTCAATTTTTGAAGATTAATGTATTTTATTGTATGTTGCATTTTGTGCCCTCCACTCCCCCGCGCTTTTTCACCAAGAGGGCCCTTGAAGATTTAATAAAAATTAAAAGCCTGGTTCTACCAAAAAATCCTCAAAATTTCGATATTTACTATTTTCCTCCGATCACTATGGACCTTCTGATTTTCCTAAAGATCATTTCCCAAGAATCCATCGTAGTCGTGAACGACCGAGAGGAAATTAGAAAGAGGCGCAACTGGAAAATTGAAGGCAGCTGGCATCATCGCAGGCTTTCCTTGATCGCGAACGACTCGCCTCGAGAGTTTAAGTGGCACTCGTGCTTCCGGTACACGGGCACCCCGGTAGTTCGCAGTCGTGACGTCGTTGGTTAAAGTTTGTTTCAGAACCTCGGCACCGGTTTAAAATTTAAAAGCAATGGAATAGAGGGAACATGCATAACGAAGAGGAAAGGATCCTCGAGACTGCGCGACAACGAAACGCTCCTAGGGAACTGTTTTCAAAGGGACCTCGTTCGCGAATACAACCGTCGACGTCTTGGGAGTTCTGTTCACCGACGATTTTCCGCCTGTATTCCTTCTCAGTTTCCAAATCAACAATATTGCTACGTACCAAACACAGACGAATATATCGAGTTGTTTAATCGTTATGCTCGACGAATGATTCCTAACTCGGTTTAACTCTTTGGACCATAGTATTTGACAAAAAAAAGAAGTTGCACAGAAATTTTTTTGCATGAAATGTGAGAAAATTTATTTTAATTATTTTTTATTTTTAGTAAATTCGCGATTTAAAGCTGGCATGAATAACGGCCCACCATGCACGTTCGAGGACTCAAAAGTTAAATATTTTTCATACCGCTATATGCTTTAAAGGGTTTAAAGGTACAGAGTGAAAGCTGGAAAATGCGAAACAAAAATAGAATATTCTCTTGAAGCTTAAACAAACAGAAAAGCGATTGATATTACTTTCTTTACGATAACATAGGAGATCAATAAGCCAATTTGCAAATTCAATTTACTGCGTCAAGGTAAGACACCGTGGAAGATCATTAATAATAGTTGCCTGTCTCAAATCTCTGTAAAGAAGGTCAGCCCGGGGTGAGAAAAGATCTTCACGATCATTGAACTAAATTTTTCGAGTTCACTGCATCCTGTTCGCATATTATTTGAAATATTATTTAAAATAATATTATTTCAGAAGTGTCCAAGTCTTTTGGACAATCTTCAATTGAATGGAAACCTCAGATAAGGATCTGAAGCACATTTAGCACATTTTAGAAAAAACCAGTTTTTCGGTTACACTGTATTCGGTAAATTGTGATGAATTTCTCCTGTACCTTAGATCCTTATTCCACTGAAACAATCAACAGGACAGCTAGATGCCGTAACATTTAACCACTAAGTTGGGTATAACGTCACTCACACGTGATCGCTACTATATAAGATAATAATAGTTAATTTCATATAATGCATAAAATGTCCGTATTTCTGCTCAGCGGAAATGAAAGTGCCAAAACCAAACTTTGGGGAACAGTATTAAAGAATCCGTAAGTTTTTTTTTAGTAACAACGCAGCGTCCACGTGTTACTCACGATCACAACGGAACCACTCAAATCACGTTTCCTTACGACAGACACACTTATTAAATTTATTTCCATTAAAATGCTGCCACCTCTTGAACAGCGAGCTGCAGCATTTTGTACGTAAGTACTCAACTCATTGAAATAATTTTTTGTACAAATAATTTATTATTTATCTTTTTACATTAAATAAAAAATATACATACTGAGAAGAAATCGGGACTAGTGATTAGAATTAGATTAGAATCGTGATAAGTATTTACCATACTGTTAATTCAACCTCGACCAAAATGTACTACAGAGCCCTTCATTCGAGGTTTCCATTCAATTGCTGTTTCGCTCGTCAAATGACTGTCACCGGAAATTTCCCGCGTGTTCAGTTAAATTCACGAACAAACTCCAAAAGCCCGTTCGATACAGCAAATAAACTCTCCTCGTTCGTTCGAGTTAATGAAATTTCCCACAAGTTTCCCATTCGACTCCGCGTCAACGCTCGAACCTCCGGTTTCTCGGCGATTCGTATTTCCCGCGTCTCGTTTTGTCGGTTCGTTAACGCCCGTAAATCGCGGTGTCCCCGTTATACCACGGGGAGGGGAGACAAAAAAAAAACAGATTTTAATAATTGTATCGAACCGCTGGAAACGAAGATTTACCGGGCACAACGGGTGGAACCGTCGAATGTACGGCCCCGTACATCATACAATAAGCTTCTCCGACGGGGGTGTGTAGTAGGGAGGGGAGGGTGGACGCGAGTGCAGTTCACCAGTAGTAAAGCGTCATAAATTATTTGCCGGCGCAGTCTGCGCCCGTTTCTGGTCGACTGAAAAACGAGCTGCCCGCCGCCCGGAACTCGCCGCCACCGAAATGAGTTCTGAAACGCTTAACATTCCGCCGGCGCGCCGGTCGCCGCGGCGAAACCCTCCCCCGATATTAGACGGAAAACCTCCGGCTCACCGTGAAATCGGAGGGATCGATCCATCGTGATCCTCCCGGGATGAATCGTTGGTTGATTATAATCACTAGACTGCGGATTTTGTGCACTTATAGCCCATTGGGCTCTGTGAAATACAATAAAAGACAAAATTTTCATCGGATCAAATGAGTTTTCTATTTTAATCTGAACCCAATAAGATACTGAAGAGGAATAATACATTTTTACATTTGCGCCGGAGAATACATCCCAGTAGATATTATGAAAGTTACCTTGGAACGTATGATCCCATCAGTCTCGAAAGGGTTAAATTCAAAACATCTTTCGAATAATTTTACCAGAAAAGAAACAAATGCTGTCTGTAATAAAACTTTATTGAAGTTAATACTACGTTATGTTATAAATCCATAAAATCAATCGTCGAACAATATCAATCGAAACACATTTTAATCATCACTTCTTGTCAGAATTATTTCCATATAATTATCACCGAGGTGTACACGTTTTCACACCACGTTTTCCGAATTGTAACTGAAAATTGAAAAATACTGCACACTCACCTGGAACAGCCGGACCACTTGGACCAAGGCGACCACTCGCCCCACGCGACGCTCTGAAATCAGAAAGCAATTTGTTCATGTGATTAAATTACATAAATGAAACGTTGCCCGGGTGTCGCGTGTTTATCATCCCCGGTCGGAAAAATTCGACATTCAATTATCCCGCGCACCGAATTAATCAGAGATCGTATTTGCGTAAACGCCCGCCCGACCCCGGGCTCGATGCTACTTTTAACGAAATTGGAGAATCCGCGGCACGGTCGAATAAATTTGTTAAAACCGCCGGCCAGGCAGAGAAATATCCGAAAGGTAATTGAACCAGCCCTCATGAAATTGTCGGACAATTTGCTTGTGTAACGAGAAATTCCGTGCTTACCGGTGTCTCTGTTTGTTAACGCTACAACCACCAGCATCGAATGTATACTAAATTAAATGTAGTATTGCACGTAATATAACATCTTCGAAACGACTAAAACATACATAATTGCTCCAAAAAAAAATCCAAGTTCCCGTAGAAACGTCTCTCGTAACGATTTGGCGCGGTGACCTACTTCGAATTAAAAAAAAAAAATCTACAGGAAAAGCTCTTCTTGGAATTTCATTTCTAAGGGTGGTTCGCTCTCAAATATTTGCTAGGACGCCCGGATCGGGCGACGGAGGGGTGGTTTTTGTCGATAAATTGCCACTGTGACTAATGCCGATATATCAAAGTATTTAGCCCCGTGCCGCTATACGTAGCCGCGCAGAGAGAGAAATCTCGTCCGCCGGTTGTAGGGGGTTGGGGGAGAACAGGGTCTGGCTCGCACATCGATATCCCCCTCTCGGGGGGCAATAAGTTCGCCGTGAGACGTGATAAAAATTTTGGGCCGGAACGACCGAAATGCGCGGCACGTTCGCAGCCGAACCGAGAGCGGATTTCGAAAATTCACTTTTGCCAGTCGGCTCGAGCACCCTCCCACAGGCTGAACTACGGAACGCTGGATGTATTTCTGCGATGGCCGAGGGTTGGCCGCGCGATGAAAGCAGAGGAAACCATAGAAACAAACGAGAAAGATTGATGGGACGGTTTCACGAACTGATACGTTAATACGTCTCGACCGATGGATCCTTCGCGGGCTTGATCGGCTATTCTTCTGGGGTAGCGTATCTGGTCTTTTTATGGATTCGTTCGAAGGGGTGGTTTAAATCTCTGTCTTTTATTTTACTATATTCTTTTTATGGGGAGGGTTTGTTTCCCCCTGGAAGCACTTGTTTGCTTTTTGAACCTTTGTTCAAGGGTATATTCCTGGTGCAAACGTTGTAAAAAATGGCTTTCTTTAGGATTTTTTGAAGCAGTTCAGAGCATGTGGTTTTTAGGGTAATTCGGTAATAACCGAAAGCAGCTTTAATAGCGATAATTATAATTAATATTAATATAAGAATTAGTATAAGATAGTGTATATTGATATTATATATTAATTATAATAATTTAATGTAAGTAATACATAATTATGCAGCAAAATAAATAAACATTGCATTCAATCATTAAATTATGTTAACCCCGAGGTTCCCGGCGAACAAAGAAGCCCGATCTACCTCCAATTAACGAACACTGTTATCCGGGCGCGACTATTACAATTTACAATCTACTAAATCCACGGGGGAATCGTTAACACCCCCTCCAAGCCGACGGTTCGGCGGCCGGAATAAAATATGGAATTTTTTGTCCAGCGATTTTATCTGGACCGGCTGCCCCTCGAGCTCAGTTCGTCCAGGCTCACCGATAATGAGCTGTTGTATCGGTTTTCCGCCGAAAAGAAAGAGCCACGGGGCCGGACAATTAATCCTTTTTATCCGTCTGGTGGCCCTCGAGGGTTACCGAGAAAGAAACGAAGAGGGAGGGAAAGTTCGACGAGGAATAGAGAACCTTGTAGAGGAGACGAGGACGCAGCGATGGATAAAATGGGGCTGAAAGGGGTGAAATCACTGACCAAAAATCCACGAGAAAGTATAGGTTCAGAGAGAAGTTTAGAACAATGAAACTGGGAAGGGAATGAATGGGAACAAACGTGGTCGAGGGAGGGATAGCTGCGTAGTGTTAATAGCTATTAGTGCTTCTCATGAATTACCCCGTATTAGGACACCTGATCTGTATGGAGGAAATATGAGTTTCCACAAAAAATATAGAGGGTGTCACACTTAACGCAAGCACCTTCAATATCTTACTTGTTTTTGAAGATACAAAAAATGCGAGGGGAAAGTAAGGTGTAGTTGGTTAGAAGGAGCAAATACTATGATAAGCAAACAATTTTTCTCAAGGTCATATTTTTCGAAATTTCAAGGTTATGGATGTTTTGTTTTAAATGAGACTACATATTTTTATCAGCGTGGCGTGATAGTTGAGATCAACACCAATTCAGTGATCTATAATAGTGTAACCTTCATTTGACTTTGAATACGAAAAATCCACAAAAAATAAATAATAAAATAACTGCGATAGACAGATTAGTGCAAAAATGTGTTGATAGTTCTTCCTAATCAAAGGAAGCGAGACACTAAAGGTGTTCACATTAGGTGGGACACCTTGTATATGTAAATGATCATAGAATTCGTTAATGAATGCATTTCAAGGGAAAAAATACAGATTTCTGTACATGACTAGTTCATCCACATTCACACAATTTCTCCTCAACTCATAACAATTTTTCCAAACAGTCATACAACTTAATTCACTCAAAAGAACAAACACCCAAAGCTACAATTAAACGTGTGGTCAAGATCTGCATCGATGTAAACTTCAAATTTCACGAAAAATCAAATCTATCAATATAAAAAATCAATGAAAGAGAATACTACATATCCAGTATTTCGCGGATTACAGTGAAATTGGAAGAATCTGAACGTTAATTCATACCTAACAGACGTCGAAGATTACGAAAGCTACCGGAGATAGAATCTCCTAAGTGAAATATCCACGGGAAACTTGAACGAAAAATCCAGTTTCTCGGTTGGAATTCACCGAATGAGCATCGTGAAAACCCGTATAATTATGGGGGACCATTGGGACGTCAGATTTCCGTGTCGCGGGGCTGCGGGAAGAGGCTCGACGCTTCAGAACGCGCCGCTCGCCTCGTTTATCTTCGCTCCCGCGGTTATTTCGCGAGAGCTCGTGTCATCAGACTCCGAAAGTTTTCACAGGCGGAACACGGGTGACATCGGGCCGCGGATACGCGTCACGCGTTAACATTCGCCGGAGTTGGTTCATTAAAAAAAAAAACAAAAAAATTATGCACGGAACAAGCACGGGGCCGCGCTCATTTGTTAAAAGTTCCGGGGCTTTTCTGCTCTGTTTTGAATCGTTGATTAAAGAAGTGGCCAGGTTTTCCGTGGGCATGGATTTTCTCCTGGTCGATTTCTCTTGGTTTGACCAAGTTTGCGTTGCGCGACCGGTTTAAAGACACGGCTACGCATAGTGTGAGAAGAATCGAAAAACAAACTTTATCGTTGGTACTAATGGTCGAATTGGAACATGTGTTAGTAAATATATAGTCGCTGTAGTTCTTAATTGTTCTATCTCCACTAGCTTCTAAACTAGACGAAGATTTATGAACGAAGAATTTTTTTTTCACAATGCAATATAACATTTGAAAATAATGTAATATTTTTCGTACAGTAATATTCTCTAATATTAAAGTTCTATTGATTATTTGTGGAACAAATAACAAAATTGCTTGAAACCGTTAAAATATGTCTAAATAAAATCCGGAAATTTTATTCATATCCCTTAACATCCGTTGGGATCGTCGAGATTTCAGCTGCCCGAGAAGAAAATTTCCCTGTGATACTGCAGAATTTTACCTTTAACAGCTTCCATTGCTTGGATCGGTTATGGGCTGGCAGCAGGTTGGTTCACCGATTCGTTTTTATATTGGCAAGAGTATTCCCCCCCATAAGATCGCGATTTGTCGCCCTCCGTATCGTCGTATGGCTTCCCCAATGGCGTTGCTTGGCAATACGGGGGTCAAGACAGAAGCCAGCCAATGGTAGCGATCGAAAAATCGTGTCGACTGGGCTATGTGACAATACTGTCATTGTACGTGACAGTTGAGTCGCCAGATTACACTTTGCTATAAACAGTGTGATATTAGAATTAATTAAATTCTAGTAAATTTTCAACTAATACGAAATTTCGACGGATGAGTATGATCACCTTTAATAAAGAATCAGTCGTTAGGTGACTATAGTCATCCTTAGTAACGAAAGGCTTAAGATCGCACATTCCACTATCTTTCCATTACACAGTATATAGTAAATCCACGATAAATGTTCAAAGGCTCCTCGACACTGATAAGGAGAGGTCCCCAGACGTAACGTTAACTTTTTAACGAGATTTATCACAACGGTACTGCTTGGAATTGAGAACCCAATGATATTTGTTGCAGCAGCATATGGCCATTAGTTTATGAAATATTTAATGTTCACCATTTAAAGTTCGAGTAGGACATACAACATATAATCAGTAAAAGTAGTAAAATGTAAGTCTCTCAGTGTAGGGTATGTATGTAAATACCCTAACTCAATTTAGCGTAGAGTACATCCAACCTATCCGAGTGTTCTATCTAAGATCCAGGTCCTATTCGAACGTTATACAATCCTCAAAGAATCCCGTGCAATATAAAGCATTCCTGGCCCGCGCGATATACCAGCCGAACGAAATCGCCCATTTGGCCGAGCGCACCGGCCAGGTCCATTAACAGCGGACGTACTCCGAGAAACCAGATACGTGTTCATGTCAGACACGGGAGAGTACGAGCGTTAAGGGATTAAGAGTTTCGCGGGCGAGAGGCCACCGTCCCGATTTACCATTACGCTCCGACCACGAGTAGACAGGGTGGAACCACCGCCAGCTACATCCTAGCGATCCGTTGGGGTCCACATTGATTTCGACCGCGAGACGTAACTGGTCCCAGCAGCGTGCTGAGACGCAACTGCTGCTGCCGTCCACGTACAGGTCGAAAAGTGGTTCTTTGCGAGACAGATCCACTGGACAGGGTGGAAAGTAGCTTCGACGCGA